ACCTAAACTGTGCCAAATTATGAAGTTTAACGACAAAAATATGCATAGAACTGCGTCATGTCGTTACGTTGTTTATAAATGCCATAGATACCGAATGTCTAGTCAATAACTGGTTTTATGAGATTGCCTACTCAAATCGAAGACGATCCATGAAACAAACCATTAAATGGCTGTAATTTAAAGGGAAAGAAACGTGGGAACGTTTTAACCTGAATTCAACCAATATTCAACTTCACTAAACTCTTTGAGCATGAGCATGCATGTCTGCGAAAACACTGCAAAAAGTGTCAAGTAAAAGGAACTCGACGTATCAAAGTCAGGTCATCCCTCTTACAATTTCCCTCGTTCGTGCACAAGTGCATTTCTTCCTGTGGTTGGCTTTCAATTTTTAGCCATAATATAGACATTGTTCGAACAGGCACCAAGTAGCGCTGAATGGCGGTTGCTAAGTTATGGTTTAGTAAAGAAATTTAAAAAAATAGTCAGAAATAAATTCTATGACTGCTTTTAGAAGATTTTTTGCAAGTTTACGTTTTGACTCTAAATAAAGATCGGTAATATTAGAAAGTTAGAAACAAAGTTCCAAAAAAATAAACAAAAATGATAAATAAATCAAGAGATATTGAACATTAGAATTCGATAGGTGATAAATTCAAAAGTACACCCATTAGTGAAGTAACATCGATAACCAGGCCAGTCTGAGCGCGTGGGTTAGCACGGAGGAGCGATGATCTATGCATTAGTGGGATTCATAGGCAAGTGCGAATAGTTGATTGGAGGTTATTCAACTGGTGAGTGAACAAAAATAGCGCGATCTCCACGTCCGCACTGCCGGCCGTGGTGGGCGCTGGGCTAGCATCGGGAGTCGGGACTCGCCCGCACTGAACGCACTTCCGGGATATATTCCCATTGGCCAAACGTACATGTCCAATGATACGCCTTTGCACTATTCGTGGCCTATTGTCAGAGAAACCCGTTTAATCATGACGTCAAATTTAATGACAGACGTTCTTTGAAGTCGTTAATTTCGATAGGAAACGCCTTGCCACGAAGGTAATTCTAATTTCCTCCCAACATGTCCTTTGCATTTCAATTAAAATTGTCGAAAGGTATTTCAAAATGTTAGGTTAAAAGAAAAAAAAGATTAGGATTATTGTGCGGGAACTAAATTCTTTGACATTTACGACGATAGGTACCACAGTAATAGATCATGTCGTTTGGATATTGAAAAATTTATCTATTATTCTAGTAGTACATTTTGGATGAATCGAGGTTTCCTTCGGCTATAAAACGCTACGTGGGCCCATGCAACAACATGCTGTGACGTCAGCATTTTGATGTCGAGATTTATGTCTTGTCTTTATGTTATTGCGGTGCTCGGTGCCGGGCGGAGACGGCGGCGGCGCGGCTGCGGCCGCGGGCCGGGAGGGACACGTATTTATAGAGGCGCCGAGACGCCGGCCTCACACTATCCCACATGTTAATTGGCTACTTGCGCCGCATTTTTTCTGGACGTGACCGTTCACACGACGCCAATGCCATCGCACCGGCCGTGTCGCATCCGACCGACAAACATTGACACCTATCTAACTGGCCTAGATACGGCTCACGCGGTTTGAACCAGTAACGCAAGGACACGAGGTGTGAACGCTTCGGACACATGAAAATAAACAGCGATGACAGTTCAAGACGCTTTCTGTTTGATATTACGTATGCTGAGCAGCGCTTCTGCTGTCGATGATATGGCAATTGATGAACTATAAGCATTTACAATTCTTAATTTCTGAAGTAGTATCCAAAGATGCAGCAGACTAAACTTGCCTGATTCTATGATATTCGGATTCGAAAATACGACCATCCCCATCAAGTCAGTCTTTTTAAGCTATTAACACTGCTCAATTTAGAAATTCCAGAAGGATTCATAATACAGCCCGAAGTTTAAAGAATCATCACAACTCTTGGAGCTAATAGCTTCCGTGGTTTACAATATAATCCCCACGAAAAATGTGCTTAAGACTGATAGACGCAGCGGCGTTGGAATCTAAAATTATTTGCGATTTGTCAAGGTGGACGAAAATAGCAAAATATCTGAGATGTTAACGATGAGTCAATGTCAAATGACATCGGAATTGTTTTATTGTTCCACGTAGCTTGCAGAACTTTCTAACGTATTGTTGGCGTGAAGTTGGTATTCGCCTAGTTAACATGTTAATAATGCCACGACACTAGGAGTTAGTGCAAACATTAATCAATAGTTAATTAAAATCGTCACGCAACCAAGGGTGTGAACCCTCCTGTTGAATATTAAAATGCCGGGAAACTTGCCAATTTGTTTATTTGACAAGTTAAGTAATTTCTTCTTAACGTAAATTAATTGAATGAAGTAATCATGGGAACTTTACACCTTTATTAAATTGGGTGATTAATTTCTGAAGCTGAAGCTTGGAAGCTATGATGGCAATCAAGGAGATGAATATTTAGACATTCCTTTAAAGTTTCAAATCGAAATGCCAGAAAAATTAATTACAAACCTACTACAGTTTAACGTTTTAAAGAGAAACATTTGTAATATATTTCAGATGGCTTGAATCCAAAGAAAATAAAAATATAAATTCATTTCGCTATTGTTCGTAGCAATGCAGTATGGGTCATTCTAAGTTAAGAGGTACTTTCGATGGCAAGGGCAAAAAAGTACCTTTTTTTTATTCTAATTTCCTAATTAACCTATTTATTACTTAAAACTAAATGTCTTCTACATGCTCACTTAAATTTATTACAGAAATGTACACAGTTTAGTCACAATAAGTTCTAATACAAGAAAAACGTCTCTACCCTGGGCTGTCCCAAACCCGACTTTATTTATAAACCAATTATTATGAACATATTAAAATTAAATAATTACTTCATCATCGATAATTTTATACAAAACAATAACTTAGGAACACTGTCTTATAAGTCAAATTACATAAATTCCAATTTTTCATAAATAATATCAACGCCGAAATTTATCCTCCGTATTTCGTGTCTCGTCCCCTGGCTTTTTGTTTTCGTTTAAAAGTTAGTTTTGTTTTACTATTATGTGGAAGTTATGTCCTTTAGTGCATAGGATGTAACGTGAAGCTATCAGCAAGCGGCGCATTAGCCGACTGCGAAGTCATTTTAACCGCCATTTCAGTCACAAAAAAAAAAAAAAAAAAAATTCTACAGAGCCTTCTAATTAATTTTCCTTTCAAACCTTGATCTGGGTGAAGTCAGTCTTTGATTGCATGCACGTAATCATTCGTAAATCGTGAATGTACTAAATTCTGAGAAGGGTATTTCTTCAAATAACACCCGAGTCAGCGTACTAGTACGTGTCTCATGCGTGTCCAGATATTTTCGTAAACGGACCGAATATGTAGGTGGCTTTACGACGTACTTCATCGTTATTTAGGTGAACTTTGAATCTGACATTTATGATTGTAATATTGACTTATGATTGGTTAAAATTTTACGACTTGTATCAAAACACTATTTTTAAATTATCCTAAATGATCCTGCAGATGATTGGATTGTGAAGTTGAAAGATATCTTATGAGTCAATAAATGCCTCTAATCTAATAGCTTTACTCTTAATGGAAATTATTTGATCGCATAGTCTACGGCATGGTGCTCAAGTGCCAGCTAAACAAATCACGAGAAAAAAATATTCAATCACTTCAAAAACATATGGAATCATCTTTGCTGATCTCTTTTCTAGGTTAACAGGTTTCAACGTTTCGTAGAAATATATTTTTTATGTGTTTTTCTGTCTATCTATTGTGTTAATTAGTCTTTATTTTTTAATTATTGTTACTAACAGGTAATAAAGTCAAATCGCGTGATAAATATCCAAAGAATTATTCATAAATCAGTTTGTTTTTGCGCTCTGTATGAACATAGAATAGCGAAGTGGGTACTTTCTTAGCGTGTGCAATGGAAAGCTGCGCCGGCGCTCGCCATAGCACGTGCGCCGAATGCTCAAGTGATCAATGAGTGTGCATTGTGGGGAATGGTGACATTTGTATTTTCGTTTCGACCTCTCTTCACTTGGTATTTTACTTCTGATTTTGAAGATGAGTCCGCAGTAGAGAAGGCACAATAAAATATTTTTATGTAGATGCATACAATGGGTAAATCCAGAAAGGAAATGTGTAGTCTTTATTTGTAAGCCCTCTTGGGGAATACAGACTGAATTCTTTTTTCAAATGCGTTGTGGATATCAAGTGGTAGATCTACGATCCCAGCAATGGCGATACAAACACTTACGCTTTCTCTGGTCCATCAGCTTATTAGCATGCTAGTCAGCGTGAATAAATCACACGGTCCCAGTCGGCGGGAAAACGGAACTCATGCCAGCTATAAACGAGCGTGGCAGACAAGCGGCTGTCTATCCACACATCTACATCTCATAGCACATGTACCATGCACCCGGCTCCCGCACGCTAACGACTCGAACAACTAATTGGCAATGCATTCTTCCGAAATGAGTCTAATGAGGTGTTTTCCCAAATTGCTGCAAAGAATGTGCTTCGGTAAGACAGTCGCACGGAATACCTATTCTCAGTCCCGAAACACAAATCCGAAGCAGTGTGTGTACTGCCAATAATTGCCACTTGCAAATTACTACAGGATCGGCCAGCGTACTGCTACTGTACCGGGGATTCAACACATAAATGTTTATTGTAGAGTTGCCAAATGTCAAATGTAACGGCGTCGGCTGTTCAGGTCACGTTGACACGTACATCTTGATTAATGTTGATGATATTGACATTTTGTTGCATTGAAACTATTTGGATGGAGTCATCTTTGCGTTGCGTTAACTATGAGAGATTTTGTCCTAGCAAGTGCGTATAATATTCTACATTTAGGTTCAAGTAGAGTACCTAGTAATGCTTTTCGATGTGTGTGTGTCTCTTTACTTTAGACAAAGAATCGATCATGTGCCTTTTGACTAATTTGGCTACATATTTTGTTGCAGTCACAATGGTGGTGGGCGAAGTGAAACGGTCCACCAATATCATGGACGGGATAGAGAACACCGGGGACGTGCGGCTGCACGACCACCGGTTACGGCTCAAACAGAGGTAAATATACTTTTCAGACCTATTAAGTCTTGTATTCTAAAGATACAATCATTATTCTTTTCAAAGTCAGCATAGATTAAGTCTGTAAATGGAAAATATTGCATTGCAATCGAAATGGCGCTCTTAATTTTTAGAGAATTTAAAAAAATATTGCAAATGACTTAATAAAGGTAGCAGGAAGGCGCTGGAGGCAGGCAGCGGCCTGACTTCCACATCGCACGGTTGGTAGCGACCAACTTGTCATTCATTCAGTCATTGGGAGAGGCCTATGTTCGCCAGTGGACGCCCTGTGGCTGAAATGATGATGAAGATTGCAAATTATCTGTTGCATAATGAACGTTTGTCTTAAGTCAGGAAAAAAAAAATTTGTTTCAATAGGTTAATTTCGTAAAATTCGAATGCATCAATAAAATATGTGCTGCTGATGCCTATCGACTGATTGTTTGTTATTTCAAGTCAGGTTCAATTGTTTGATAGATAAGTTTTTCTTCACTAGTACACTTTATTCTAAATTATAGGTCCTTAAACCCACTTCGAATAGTCAGAAGTAGCTCCTCGTCAGATAGGTACTGACCTATCTAGCAGCCGGGTGGGCGTATAATGTTCAATTTGACGCACAAGTAAGCGAGGTGAAAAGACTGATGTGAAGGAAATAGGAAACAGCTTTGACGTCACATAATTTATGATTGTGACATACAGGCCTGCATTATACCATGCATTCTAAAACGGACTTTTTCTGTAATTGGTTGAACTTCAAAGTGTTTAAATCGAGATTTCAGTGTCGTTTCATCATACGACCTTCCTTTAAACTTCTAGACTTTGTCACAATGATTTCATATCGCAAAGCCTTTGTACACGATTTTGTGCAAGTCTGTCAATGAAGTTTGGAAATTATTTCTCGACTGACTAGTCATAGCTAGGAGTGGCCAAATTCCGGTCTTTGACTATTACCTTTACCAATCTCGGAGCAGGTTATACGTTGACAGCGCCGTCATATGCCGGTGACCGAGTTTAGGGCGATTCGTTCACCTACACTCTGGCAGTGGGCGTAAAGGTTGCCAGTTACGTCACTCCAGCGCGTATAAACTTAGAAGCGTATGTTTCTAAATAAATAGGCTGAGATTCGACCTACGAATCGTTACTGTTGTTACATCTAATATCCGTCACCTTTTGTGACGAATGATTACGATACGAGTAACTTATCCAACCTTAATTGCGTATTCAAAGTAATTCAAGTTTTTCGCGGTTTAAATTAACACATAGTTAATTAATGATAATAGCCCGCATGATAAAACATGAACACATCTCTATTGTATCTTTTTATATAAATTCAAATCAGTTTGTTTCTGAAAAACTATTTTACTGAAAGAACAAATGAAGCAAAAAACCCATTAGGCGGTTCAATGAGAATAGATTTTGTAAACAAAAATCAGGTCACCTTTAATAATAATAATAATAATAAATATTTATTTGCAAAAAACATGGTACAATTTTGTTATTACATATTGTGTAGTGTGAACAGGCATGTTTTATCGATATGACGATATGCAAATATTTTGTCGTCGTGCAATCTATTCATATTACAATTAAAATTCATTAATTACCTTATTTTAAACAATACATAATACAATTCCATAAAAATACAATGTCAGTCAGTAAAAATAAAATAAAAATCTCAAATTCATTAGCACAATGTCAAACTTAAATCTAATTATTTATAAAATTACGAGTAAGTCACATTGTTATCCTTAATAGCCTCTCGAGGCGACCACTACGGCTAAATTGAATGAATTCATTGATGCTATAGAAACAATTCTCAACCAAAACCTTGAATATGACTCTCTTAAAGGTAGTAAATGGCAGAGTCTGGACACTATTCGGAAGCAAGTTAAATATTCTGACACACATGCTATAACTATTATTGCTGAAACAGGTTGTACTTGCTGATGGTATTGTCAATCTGTATGGGTATCTTGTGTGGAAGTTGCAGTCCTCTCGTTTCCTTGTAAATAAATTCGTATTTTTCTTCACAAATAATAATATTTCGAATATATATAAAGAAGGAAGCGCAAGTATATTCAACAGCTTAAAGAGAGGTCTGCATGATTCCAACTGTCCGACACCACAAATAGACCTTATACATTTCTTCTGCAAAATGAAGGCACGGTTAATGGTTGTTGAATTCCCCCACACAATTAATCCATATCTCAGCAAAGAGCCTACATATCCATGATATGCCATTAGCGCCGTGTTTCGATTAGCCAATCGCGAAAGGCGATACAGAGCATACACGAATCTGTTTAGCTTTTGGCATACCATGTCAATATGGTCATGCCAATTCAGTCTCGAATCTATCACTATACCCAGAAATGTCGCAGATGTGGCTTCGGCTATGACTACGTTTCGATGGTGTATGGATAACTGCTGTGGTTTAGCGTTTTTGTTGAAAAATTGTATGTATTTTGTTTTTGTAGTGTTAATGATTAGATTATTTTGTGTTAACCAACTTACTACCCTGTCTATTTCATTATTAATTTCTTCATTATAATTTGTATTAGGTTTCTTATGAATCGTTAAAGATATGTCGTCTGCAAAAAGTGTGATTGGATAATTAGTACATTTTGGAAGATCATTTATATATAGAATAAATAGTAATGGGCCTAATATGCTGCCCTGGGGGACGCCCGATTTATTTATTCTATTTTCAGACTTGTGTATAACTGTTTTAAAGTTATCGTCTAGTTTTGGAATTTCTACAAACTGGGTCCTCTCATTCAGATAACTTTCAAACCAATCAAGTGGTGGCCCCCGTACTCCATAGAGTTCGAGCTTTGCTAGAAGAGTTTTGTGATTGACATAGTCAAACGCCTTGCTCATATCGAACAATATAGTTGACACGGGTACCTTTCTATCCATGAGGGTCGATATGTTCTTGATCAGAGAGTAGCAAGCCATGGTAGTCGATCTTCCCTTACGAAATCCATACTGTTCGTCTCTAATTATATTGTTCTTTGTCAGAAATGAACTCAATCTCGCGTACATTACCTTTTCAAAGATCTTTGATAGAACTGGAATGAGAGCAATCGGCCTATAGTTGTTTAAATCATGTTTATCTCCACGCTTGAATAATGGTTTAACAACTGAGATTTTAAGCGAGCTTGGAAATTTACCCTCTATAAAGCTACTGTTTATGAAGTGCACCAAAGGTGGTGCCAACTCGTTAGCACATACTTTTATTATTTTAGTATTTATGGCATCATACCCCGTAGAATTAGTCTTGTTCAAAGATTTAATAATTTCTTTTATCTCTTTTTCATCGGTAGGGTTCAAAAACATGGACCCTGGGATCCGGTTGATTAATTTTAGGTTATTTAGACAAGGCTGATGACTATTTGCTAAATAAGGGATATCTATGAAGTGATTATTAAAGACATTTGCTATTTCCGAGGGATCCGTAACATTGGTATCTTTAATTTTTAAGACTTCAATATTATGTTTATTATATTTTGTCTATTGACCTTCCTCTGAATGAATGATACACTTGAATCGTTCTCTCTTTAATGAATCGGTTTCCAAGAAAACACAAGGTAAAAGGCGTTTGGAAGAGAATGCCTAAGGCGAGCTCGAGGTCGTTTCATTCACAAATATCAATAAAACTATTAAAATACATAACACAAATCCCTCGCTATCGGTCGTGCAATGTTTTATGCAAAGACTTGCGCGTGGGCAGACATCGCGATGCTTTCGTGCTTGTCTAGCTAGCCCCAAGTAAGAGTCAAAAGGAGTTTCCAATATTACCAATAAAACATCATTAACGTCCGATAGTTAAAACTTTTTATATTCCGCAACGGTTCTCTCAATATGATTTACGGGCTTCTGAAAACAACAGTCATGCTGCTTTTGTTCTCTAAGAGTGTTCAACGAAAATACGATATGGCCACGAGAATATTTCGACGTTGGGAATAAACATCTTACTGTTTAAGAATAAATATTTCTCAGTCGAGAGTTTTAGGGGATTAACTTGAATCGACTGTTTTATTTTTGTGTCATTGTTTGTACGGACGACAGAGCATCAAACCAAACACTTGTAAGTTGTAACACAGAATAATAAATAAGTACTTCGTACAGAAGATTTTCTTCGCGAATGTCGTTAACAATATGGTGTAATTTAGCTTGTCTCAAGAGTCGAGCACCATTTTGTTGACAAACGTCAGTGATCGGTACTGCGCCGAAGACATAGGGCTGACTTCGGTAAAATGATGTGTGACGCGAGGTGCCAAACTGCGAAAAATGGCGGAGGAAATACATGAATAAGCATGAATTATATTTTGTGTTTCTAATATTATTCAGGCAGTTAAAAAATACAGTAGAGTATTAATTGCACCACCGTTTTTACATTATGGTTTATTGTCTTTACAATGCAAATGGGTGAAGAATACGTGCGTGCGTCAATACTCGCTCGTGATTGTCCTGTCGATTTGGTATCTCAGGAGGGGTAGTCGCGCGTGTTTTGTTTTCGATGCAAACTCGCGGAGATGAACAGGCCTGGTTGTAACAACGCATAGCTGTTATAGAGCGACTTCACAATAAATACACACAGCATACTTACTGTACCCTAGAACTTAGGAGAACGTTTCCATTGGACATGTTCTTATATATCTTCTTCTTTGCCCTTTCCCATTATTTGGGGTCAGCTCTCCTCGTTCTGCGACGCCAGGACAGACCAAATAAATATTTTTTCCTTCTTTATCCCAACTATCCCAACTATATAATATTATAAATGCGAAAGTAACTCTGTCTGTCTGTCTGTCTGTCTGTCTGTCTGTCTGTTACGCTTTCCCGCTTAAACCTCGCAACCGATTTTGATGAAATTTGGCATAGAGATAGTTTGAGTCCCGGGAAAGAACATAGGATAGTTTTTATCCCGGTTTTTGAAACTGGGACGCGCGCGATAAAGTTTTTCTGTGACAGACAAAATTCCACGCGGGCGAAGCCGCGGGCGGAAAGCTAGTTTTCTATAAACGCTATCTCCTGCTCCTTGCCACCCATTCGTGACTAGTCAGTCTCGCCGCGACGCATCGATTTGCATGATCAATTAGACGGCGGGCGCTAATCAGGCGCTCAATTGAGGCGTTATGCCCACAATCACGGCGGTCATTAGCTCAATAATCAGTTTCCCCGCATTTTATTAACACGACATTCAAAATTATATCTTTTAAAGCGCTATTGTGCGTGTGGTCTAAGTTATGTGTAGAAAACGTGCTGCATATCTCACGACATGGTTTTGAAAGGATGAACGGAAATAAATATTATAATCATTATTATGGATATGTCATGGAATAATAATTCTCTTAATTAGTCTGATGATTTCATCCTTCCTTCTGTAACAGGTAAAGGGTGTTTAATCTGCAAACAGGTTAAAAATAAATATATTACCAGGAAAACGCCTAAAACGATGAGTAAGCATTATAAAAGCTGACGAAACCGAATGACCTGAGTTTTATATCCAAAGATGTGTAGGACGGGACCTGCCTACGTTGATTGATGAGAATGAATAACATTGTTGACTCCCTTTCAGGTTTGACATAGTCAGAAAACTAGGTCAAGGCACGTACGGGAAAGTTCAGCTTGGCATCAACAAGAAGACTGGGCAGGAGGTCGCCATAAAAACCATAAAGAAATGCAAGATCGAATCTGAAGCGGACCTGGTCCGCATTCGGAGAGAGGTGCAGATCATGTCTTCCGTGAGGCATCCGAACATTGTACATATTTATGAAGGTTAGTGTGGAGGAAACATATCTTCAACGTAAACCAAAATTAGCAACTTTACAGGATAACACAACAACTGAATAACCATACATTAGTATACCATTCTGTTCACTGATACTCAATTTCAAGGGATCATTAATTTGGACGTATCTTATTTCTCATTGACCCAAACGATGCATCAACACATCAAAATCGTCCAAAAATACTCACATGGTTTTATACGACACATTTTAATGCTCTTGCATTGAGGTTTGTGATGTAATACTTGCTTACTCAACCCGTGCAGTTTATGTTTTTCACACATTCTATAAATAAGGTATATCTAGACCAATTAGTTGTACAGAAGTCGTCAATAAGCCTGTGAAAATGTGAGACTCGCATTTTTTTACATTAGCAAAGTGACGTGGCTAATAATTATCAGAACTGTTTAAATGTACTTTTATGTTACGCTGAGTAACGATTGCGAGCAACAGGCTCGTAACTATTTTATGCATAATAAAGCAGTAACTTTTCATTGGATGTTTCCTTGAAAGATAATTATAATTGGTTTATTTGCACGTGCAACCATAAGAAAGAAGTCTAGGAAAAGACGCATTAAATTCATGATTCGCCTTTGCACGCGTAGATTTTGATTGGTTTTTTGATTTTTTCTTTAATTTCTGCCTGGTGGTTGGTGATCGTTACATGAGCCATTATGACGATGTATGTCTGTCAAGGTATGATGAATATGATGATACGCCGAATAGAAAGAAGAATAATAGAGAAAATATTAGAGACTCATTATTAAAAATGAAGCGTACAATGCTTGCATACATTAAAACAACTATCAATATTAATGATATTTAAACAATAATGCAATCTAATTATATCAAATTTCTTTTGCAGTATTTGAAAACAGTGAAAAGATGATACTCGTGATGGAGTATTGCTCCGGCGGAGAACTGTATGATTATCTTAGTCAGAAAAAAGTATTACAAGAAGAAGAGGCTAGAAGGTTCGTCTATGGTTGCTTTAATTCTTTTTATTCCTGCAGTCGTGCGATTGGACACACTGATTTGGCCAATGTCAAGTGTTAAAAGAGATGGTATTTTTGTAAATATTAACGAGCTTCATATTTCAGGTTATTTCGTCAGATAGCGACTGCTGTGTATTATTGCCATATTCATAAAATTTGCCATAGAGATTTGAAGTTGGAAAATGTATTGCTCGATCACACTGGTAGTGCCAAGGTATTCAACGTTATTTATTCAAAAAATAGAAAAATATAATCTCTAGTTGTTCATATAGTAATTGAATTTTTTGTATTGACTTCCAGATTGCTGATTTCGGTCTCTCAAACGTATTCAAAGAGACATCGCTTCTGTCCACATTCTGCGGGTCACCGCTGTACGCGTCGCCTGAAATCGTTAAAGGAACGCCGTACATCGGCCCTGAGGTAAAGCAATCAATACCACTTTGGTGGGTACTAATTTAATTAGGCGAAAGAGTCACTAATAAATTTATGTTGGTGTATATCCTTTGACGTTACTTCGAATTTCTTTTTTTGTTTGTTAAGCTGCGTACGTACCTACGTTTCACCTAAAAATGACATTATTAAAGGGAACTCAGTTATCAGTATGGCAACATGAAACATTGCTAGCAAAAATAAACTTATAATGGTAGTTCTTAGTTACAAATTACTGTATAAATTATAGTGACTGGATAAAAACGATTGTGTTTTGTGACGCTCTATATGGGATGCTTACGCCCAGTAGTAGATTGCCCTTATGACGTTGTACTTATATCGATTATGGCTTAAAATTTAGGACCTTTCTTTCCAATTACTTTTTTATTTCTTAACATGGTAAGTAAAAAAGTAAATGCAGAAACACCGTATGGCGTATTTTTTCAAACCCTATCTTGTATTACAGGTGGATTGTTGGTCGTTGGGGGTGCTTCTTTATACTCTAGTCTACGGAGCCATGCCGTTCGACGGCTCCAACTTCAAGCGCTTGGTGCGACAGATTAGCAACGGCGACTATTATGAGCCCAAGAACCCTTCGTGTGAGTACACAATATTTTACAATTAAAAAAAAATTGAAAAAAGTCGAATTGCTTCTGGTGGGAATTGAATCCACGACTTTTCGCTTGCCGGGCGTGGAACACATCGAATATACTACAATCACTGGATAAAGTGTTGTCTGTTGGTCTGATCGCTAAGCTACTTTACAATAAAACAAACAGTACATTTACCTACTTTAAAATTGTACTTCAAATAAGTAACAAGTTTACGACATAGATAAGCAGAAAGAAACTAAATTAAACTGCGTATTGTTTAAACGCACTTTTTGTTGTGAAAAATTTCTACTTAGTATAGACGGAGCATTGAAAATCTAATTTCATTACGCTGATACATTTTTCGACTATATTCAATCAAACAAACAGTGCTTTAGCTATATTGTCCTGTAAATAAATATAAATTCTGTGTTGAACTTGGTACATAAAAAATGTAGGTACCTATGTAAATCGGAATTTATTATTAAAAGCATTATTAGCTCGCGGAAGGAAAACATCACAAAGCAAAACAAACTAACATAGATAACAAAGAACAAAATAACGTCGTGATGTTTGTTTATTGCAAATGGTATTGACCTACAATGTACAGGAATCAAGGAGAATCCAGAACAATAAGACTAGCATATAAACGTCGCCACTATGAATGAAGATGATAATGACAAACAACGTAGTTACAAGCAATAGTGTTATTTCCTTTACTATTGTAACGAGGATCGGTGTCGTAGACATGCAATAGTACTCTTAAGTTATATGAAAATATAGATCAGAATAGTTCACTCATGTTCATGCAATAGTAGGCTCTTAAGTGTAAGCAAATATAGGTCAAAACGGTTTGCGCATTCCCTGAACTGACAAGTGATTGTTTGTTGCAGCTGCGTCACCGCTCATTCGCGATATGCTCACGGTGGATCCGCTGAAACGTGCCGACATCGCGTACATTTGCGACAATCCGTAAGTATCTGGCAATTACAATTGGGCTCTAAAGCTCTTTAGGTAGAGTCCATTTCTAGTAAGCGTTGATTGAACTTACTTGTGCTCGTATATACCTTAACTTCGAACTCCTCCTATGTTCTTCTGATTAATTTCGTTGCGGGTCTAATGACAGTTTAACTTTCCCCGGGACAAACTTGACCTTCACTGGTTGGGGTTTTTTATTGGCGGTCAAGCTGTATATCCTGGCTACACAGGAGTTGCAGAGGTGGGAATAGTCCCGATTGTGCTCGGAAAATTGTACTTGTACGTCCAAAACCACCAGAAAAGTGATTAAAGTTGGAGTCTTGACCCTACCAAGCTAAAGTTCAGCGAGTCTCATTTTAAAACGAGCAAAAACCCCCAACCTTTTCTAAGGAAAGGGCAAAGGTCATACCCCCGTCTAATATCGTAGCATGTTGCTCTTGCTTGAGTGGATATTAACCGAGCGAATGGGTCTGGAGGTTACCCTTTGAAAAATAACGCTACCTACTTCAATCAAGCGGCGATTGACTCGTTTTCTGTATAATAATAAAACCTTTGACTACCTTTCGTGATAATATGACGGCTATTTGTGGTAGCGAGCTAGTTTATAAAATTGTAAAATACACAACATTATCGTACCTATGTCACATGGTGTCAGTAGTAATCAAGTACAAGTAAAGAACAAATTATGCCAAAATGGTCCATTTACTCAAAATAAAAAATAATATAGATTCTTTTAAAACAAAACGATGTATTTGTACGTTTTTTACACGGTATCCTAATCGTTTGGTGGTACCGTCTTGTTCAACGATGAATTATCAAAGAAATTGCTACTTTATGTCTATAAAATTGTACAATAAATAAACTTCCGGATGCAATGAAAGACTTGCCCACTAAATTTAAATACCAGCTTTATAAGCTAAGCGACAAAATGTTTTTATAGCATAAATGAATTTATTAATTGTAAAATTTGAGGATATTGACTTTTTATTATTTTATTTTATTTTTTTAATCGGTATGTATTTTAATTATTATCATTGAGTGAAATTTATCATTGTTAATTGATTTATTGAGTGATAAATGTTATTATAGCATGAATTTCTAAACTGTAAAATTTAATGTTTAATACAAGTATTTAATTGTTTTATTTTTAATTGAGTATAAATTTATTATTTTGACTGTATTATTATAATTTTAATGACGTGTTATATTTAGACATAATTATGTGCTTACTGTTTCACTCTATGTTGCATGCCAATTGTCGTTGGTTAAATGTGTGAATCGGACATTTATTATGATTACCATTTTGTACCACATTCACCGCAATAAAGAAATTCTTATTCTTAATGATGCCACGTTATTTGGGAACTAAAAAACTTGTAATATTCTAAATATAGCTTGTCCATAGGCAAAAATATCGTCTTATTATACAAGAACTAGCTAATCGTCTTGTAGTCTTCTCCTTTAACTGTATTTTCAAATTCAATTATTATTACTATTCCACACGTTTAAGGATGTTCTAAGATTACATTTTGTCCCTCAGATGGCAAAAAGGAGGCTGACAATAGTGACTGAGTTTCTTGCGCTGCTTCTTCTCAGCACTGGCCCATTTATTGTCCCGAAGCAGTGGTAGGGTTAATATTGGGACGTGTAAAAGTGCTTTTTAAAAGCCTATTTGCATAAATAAATGAATTTTATGAATTTTATTTTATGAATTTTAGATGGGTGAACGCCGGTTGCGAGACGTCATGCCTGGAGATGGCAGAGTTGCTAGCGGCTGAGACACCAGTGCGCTTGGATTTGCTACTGTCTCTAGCGCCGGCTGCGCCTTCCAACTCAAACTCTGTCGTCGTGCCCTCGTCAGAGGTATGTTATCATTGTCATCAGGTCATTAAAGCTCCACTGCTGGAGTACGAAACTCTAATTTCCTCTGCAAAAGAAGAATTTGGCCTACACTTCTCACGTTATTCTATAGATTGTGTTATCCACGAAAACCCATTCTTCCGCTAATGTTTCAGTGTTATCGGTACACGCTAAATTGTATTATCCATGAGTGCACACTACAATTATTATAATGACGCTCGGATTGCTCGGATCTAACTCCCCGCATCCCTCGACCGAAAATTGGTGGGGCGCGTCTTCGTGGATGGCACGATCTACATTAACACAAGTCAATTGACATGGCATGATTAAAATGATCAAGTAAATGATCATGATGTTTCCACCATATTTTAAAACTTTCCGACTTATTTTTAAAATGAAAATGTGTTGAAGTGTAAGTATTTCATATACATTGTGACTTGATTTTTAAGTCTACAAATATTTATCACTTATTTAAACAGCTGAGGAAATATGACATTGTATGACATGTAGTGAATGGAATTGCAGCCAAGTGTGTCTGAATAATAATGCTAACTAGCAGACAATTTGAACAACAACGAATTTTTTGTTCGAAGTAAGAGGTTTCATAAAATTGCATATCGTTATAAGAAAAAATATGTATTACGTCATACTTTGATGATTTGATATGAAATCCTAAAACGTAAGACTTACCAAGAACAAATATTCTACCAAAATGTGCATAATCAAGTTCTAGAGGGGGCTCGAAAAGCCTGTAGTTGAGACAGAAAATCAGAGGCAGCATATTTCATCCCTTATCTTTCTTAGGGCGGATTCGACCAAACGAGTAAATATTAACCTCAGAATAAACTTGTCATTTTGACATATTTCCCACACTGAAACTGTCAATGTGCCAGTTTATACCGGGAGTTATTCTCGGATAAAAGTTTGGTCGAATCGGTCCTTAGTCTGCGAGTCATATGTTATTGAATTTGTCTCTCTCTTTCTTTATAATAATGAATACTGAGATTACGTCATTAAACAGCTCATAAACACATGTTGTTATCGCAGCAAGCAGAACTGGGCCCAGAGGAGAGCGGAGCAGACCTCACGAGCTCCGCGTCTAAGGCCGTGGAGCCTAGCAATTCCGCTGAGAAGAGGATCCTTGAACTGGTGGCAGGTCTGTATTGTTTAGAATACTTTATCTGAAGACTGTAAGGTCGATATCCGCCTTTATTCTGAAAGAAATAAGGGGCGGCAAAATGCGCCCAGCTAGCAGATAGTCTGTCAATAAATGTTTCAGTGAGATACCAGTTGCAACCATATACCACGCATAGTTAGCATATCTGTGGTCTTCTAACTACGAGGGCGGCACTGAAAATTTCGGGAATCAAGGAAGTGAAACAACATTACTATTTAAAAATGTATTTATTGCTTTTTAAAGTATTCTCCGCGAAATTTGACACATTTTTTCCATACACGAAACCAATCATTGAAGCAACCATTGCATTCGGAAGTTTGGGTCTCCAAAATGACCGTTTTGTAGGCGNTCAACAGTTGTAAACTGAATTTCTTTTCCTTTTAAATTAACCTTTCCGTTTTTAACATCCGAGAAAGTGTAAACTGGTTTGTTAGTATATCCTTTAAAATAATCTCCAGCACTTAAAACTTTTTTATCTTTTAAATTGATAAAATAATGAGGCTGCGCCAACCAATCTAAATAATTATCCAATTGCGTAAATCCGTCTTTATCTGTATCCTGATTGGCATCTGAAAAATCTCCAGCCGATGAATTTTCATTTAAACCAAAAGCTTTTTCCCACCAATTTGGCAAACCGTCATGATCTGTATCCCAATCTGCCGGACGAGTTTCTGAAACAAAATTTGGCCATCCACCTGCATCCTGTTCATTATCGATCATACCGCCTAAACCGCTTTTACTACCTTTGTAAGTGAAAGTTCCTTTTAAAGTTTCATCTACAATTCTATTATCATGTTTATCAAAAAATGGCTGATTGGCACCAACATCTGAAAGTACATTTTTATAAGCCGCTTTCGCTGATTGCGTTTCTACATAAGAAGGAAAAAATGGTTTGTCTACAAAAGTTTCATAATCTACTTTTTCATTATGACTTATAGTCGATTTTCTACCTTTATCCTGAGATTTCTCATCAAAGTAACCAGGCATAATATTTCCGTTAAAATAGTAGCGTTGCATTCCTTTTCCAACGCCTTCATGCTGTGCATTTAAGGCGACAAATATGGTAGTTGAAGCACCTGGTTTGTAAAAATTGTTTACAAAGTTCACTTCGTTTGCTCCTCCGTCAGTTGTTCTTCCTCCCCAGTTGTAAACCACATTGTTTGTGATATCCAGTCTTCCTGTATAATAACCGTCACCGTTTAAACCACCGCCAATACTCCAGTTTCGACCTTGATTATGCGCCAGTAAATTATGATGAAAACTACCGATATCACCGCCAATTGTTGCTGCAAAACCGTGCATTTTTCCAGCTGGGTATTTATCATGTCCCGCCACATTTAAAGCTTCTGAAATTAAAGTTCTTTGCAACGAAATATGATGCGCACCACGCGAACTAAACGATTCATCAATTGTCCAGCTAATCGAACAGTGATCAATAATACTATAATCAGCGCCCGTTAATCCCATTCCGTCAAAAGTAGTTCCGCCGCCAATTCTTACTTTTAAAAATCGAATTACACCATCATTTCCGGTCAATCCAATTGGCGCTCTGCTGATTGTGATTCCTTCACCCGGAGCTGTTTGTCCCGCAATAGTAATATAAGGCTGATTTGCTACCAATCTCGAAGCCAATTTTATATTTCCCGAAACAGTAAAAACAATCGTTCTAGGCCCAATTTCCTGATTGATCGCATCACGTAAACTTCCCGGACCGTCATCATTTAAATTGGTTACTTCAATTACTTTTCCGCCACGTCCACCAACTGCGTAACGTCCGTAACCTTCAGCTCCTGGAAATGCTAATTGTGCAGGTTTAAACGACCATACATTTCCTAAAGTTACTTCACCTTTAGTATCTACTTCATCGACTCTCCAATAATAAGTTGTCCCTGAATATAGATCAGAAACTGTAAAAGATTTATCAGTTAGTTTTCCTTTAAATTCTTTTGAAGATTCTGTTGCGTTTTCTACCGCATTTTTATCTTCACCAAAATACAATTTATGAGATGCCACATTTTTTACCGCATCCCATTTTAGGGTTAAAGTTTTACCCACTTCAACATGTTCGTCTCTATTTTTTGGTTCTGGAGTTCTCGCCTGATTCATCAAATTTGGTGTATCAATTTCAAAACCGTTAATTACAATCTGTTTTACGATATCAGGATTGGAAGTTGGGTCAATTTCAAATCGAACGATTACATCTTTTCCTTTTTCAACATTAAAAGTAATATATGCCATCGAAGCATCAATTTTAGCATTGGCTCTTTGACTCGCATTCACGGTTTCCTGAAGTTTTCCGTTTACGAAGATTTTTATCGGTGAAAAAGTTTTTCCTGTAATGACATCAAAGGCGTTATGGAAAGTTAAAAGCGTATGTTTTCCTGCTTTCAATCCACTTATTTTCAATTCTAAATTTTCAGAAGTAACCAAACCGTCGCTTCCTAATCTATTGTAAAACGGAGCGCTCATTCCTACTTTATACCACTTTGAAGTAAAGTTTCCTTTTAGCTTAAATGACACATTATTAAATGATTTTTCAGCTTCTTTTCCTTCATTAATTACCCACGAATCATAACTCGGATCATGAACTTCTTCCAGTCTTCTTTGAAAAAAATCAAAGTCAACTTTTACAATTTGTTTATCAGCATTTGCGACTGATTGTGCTTGTCCATTTGTGGTCAAAAGCATGGACAAAACAGCACCACTTATTAATTTCTTTATCATTTTGATTGGCAATAGTTAGTTTAATTTCGTTTTCTCTGTTTCAGATTTTCCTAACAGATTTATAATGTCTTTTTCTCTTTCTTTTGGAATTACTTTTAAAACCTTCAATTCTCCATTTAAGAGTTCAGCTTCAATTGTAGTATTTTGTTTCGCATGTAATTTAAAATGAACATTCCATTCTTTTGGCCACGCTGAGAAAAGATAAATCTTTCCGTCTGCTTCCTGCAAAAGCATTTCCTGCATGCCAATCATTCCCGATCCGCCCCAATTATGATCTGGAACCCAGTCAAATCCCGGCCCCCAGAAAGCTGGAAAACGTCTTTCCGAATTAGCCATTTTTAGCGTATTATATTTTGCTGCTTCTTCGGTTAAACCTAAACGAGCCGAAAAAATATTATCTTGTTTCCATCCAATATGACTTCTGAATTTTAAAGCATCAGGATCGTATTTCCATGTATTTAAAGCAGTTTCTAAATCCAGTTTGCCAATGCCGTAAATTCCCCACGGATAAACAGGATACAACACACTGTTTTTGTGTTAAACCACTTCAAAAGTCATAATAAATCATCGCTCTTGAATTTTCTCGAGTCAATTCCATTTTCTCAACGACTAAACAAGTTTGACAAGACCTTGTGATACGACCGAGAATCTTTTTTTAAATAAATAAATGGTATACGATTTTAAAAACCCTGGAGTTTGCAATTAAATAGATTTTAATATGACAGGAACAGTGGAAATATTCCATTCCCGATACTTTTAGTGCAGCCCTCGTAACATTGACTTATAGATTTGTTTGGGACTAGCGGCGCAGTGTAAAATGTCCAAGGATATTTATTATTATTATTATTGACAACTTTAATGGCAAACATTTATGAAACCGCAGTTATAAAGCATAAAATAATTTACGGTTTGTGTGAGACATCTATTTCTCAAAACAACATTCACTTAAATTGAGATACACTTTAATAAAAGTGATGTGGTATGTAATGACTGTTTAAATAATTTCAGAGGGTGGTGAAGACGCGATCAAACCGTCGCCGACGCGTACGATAGTGTCGGCAAGCGACAACAAGCGGAAGTTAGAACTGGCTATGTCTGCCAGCGGTCTACAGAGGAAGAAGGAACGCGTTGCCAGGTAAAATAAACATAAAGCTATTAAGACTGGGTTGCACCATCTTACTTTGACTGTTACAAACGTCAAAAATCTGTCAAACTTCATAGAAAAATCACCGGTTACCGTTATAGTTACGGTCAAAGTTTGGTGGTGCAACTCAGCCTTAGACTCATTACTGACTACAACTCGATCTAACTGCGAGCTAACTGCGAAAATCGCTGGAATGCGACTCTCCCTCGCACTCACCCGCACACTTCCCCTCGTTCGCCCTGTCCGAACCAGAGCGTCGATGTGACGTCACGGCTGCCAGATGCGCACGCGCAGTTAACTCGATTGGGTGGTAAAATGCATATTGGTATAAAAAAAAACCTTGTTTTGCAAGACATTTCAATTTGTCTACTCGTATAATGATGATATTTAAGTATACAGGGTGGAATTTTGTAATGCCACCTGAAGGGAAAGTACTCTTAATACTGCAGATAGAAAATTTTACTGAAAGAAAACATTCCTTGATTTTTTAAAAGAAAGAGAACTGCATTCATAGATTTTCGATTTTTTTTTTCGAAAATTCACTACCATACCATACAATTTTCTGTACATAATTAAAATAATTTAAGATTTTATGGATTTCCTTTCATTTCATTTATCAAGTTTGTTAAAGAGATTTCATCTTTATACTGATACTTGACCCTAACGATCGATGCAATAAAAATACAGGGTGTAATTTTTAACAGATTTTAGTTGGTTTGATTCCCGGGTGTGGCAAGCAAATTTTTGGAAATCTTTGAATGCAGTTGTATTTCTTTTAAAAATAAAGGAATGTTTTCTTTGAGAAAAAAAATCTATCTACAATATTGAAAGTAGTTTCCCTCCAGGTGGCATTAGAAAATTCCAGCCTGTATATTACATGTTTATTATGTTTATTTCTTATAGCTGTGCAAGCATCTCGCCACAAGCGCCCGTGCCAGAAGAAACTCCCGCCGACACGCCGCCAGAACCAGAACCAGAGACGGTAGGAACACAACATTCGTCATATTTTATGATTCATAAAAACAGTCGGTTGGTTTCATGTATAACGAGTAAACAGTAAACACGTTCGCTTAAGGCCGGTTTCCACCAAGGTGGAGTGGAGAAATGTTTTGAATAACTAATCAGATTTCATTATTTCCACATATCTTTTCTCCGCTCCGCCGCAGCTTTCAAACTCTATAGAAAAATTCGTGTGCCCGACACATCTCCTTTTTACTTCGCTCTGCTCCGCCTTGGTGGAAACCGGGCCTAATTGTACTCTGAACAAAATTAACACTCATAAGCGATACGATAATATTCACATTTAGGTGTGAATCAAATGTCGCACGCCAAGTATTTATTATTTAATTCTTTGATGCCATATAGTTGGTACATAAGGCGAACTTAATGCCATGTATAGATCGTTTCATCCACGAAGACGCGCCCCACCAATTTTTGGTTGAGGGAAGCGCGGAGTGCAGGGAGATTTGAGATTTGATTTTGATCCGAGCAATCCGAGCGTCATTATTGTAGTGTGTGTGTGCACACATGGATAATTTAGCGTGTACCGATAACAGTCAAACATTACCGGAAGAATGGTGGGGCGCCCGGGGGCGTCTTCATGGATGACACGATCTATAATGCCTATTGTATTTCGTAATTTTTGTTTTATTATCCCACAGAGCGTGCAGCCAGGCCTGAAGTCATCAGCTACAATCACAATCGCTCCCTCGCCTGCGCCTGAGCCCGGCCCTGCCCCCTCTGTGCCCGCCCCCGCGCCCGCCCCTCTACCCGCGCCCAAACCAGTGAAGGAGCCTGCTAAGGGCCGCGCCACGTCCACGCCGCGGGAGAAAACTAAGGAAGAAAAGCCTGAGAAAAAGGAGGAGCCTAAGGTGAGATGATGAATGTGGACTGTGTCGTTTTAGAGATTAGGTGCATATTACAAGACTCCCGCCCACGCGCCCGCGCCTAAACCAATAAAGGAGCCTGCTAAAGTACGCGCCACGTCGACGCCGCGGGAGAAAACTAAGGAAGAAAAGCCCGAGAAAAAGGAGGAGCCTAAGGTGAGATGATGAATGTGGACTGTATTGTCTTAGAGATAAGGTGCATATTACAAGAGTCCACGGGCCCGCGCCCGCGCCTAAACCAGTGAAGAAGCCCGCTAAAGTACGCGCCACGTCGACGCCGCGGGAGAAAACTAAGGAGGAGCCTAAGGTGAGTTGATGAATGTGAACTGTGTTGTTTTAGAGATTAGGTGCATATTACAAAAGCCCACGGGCCCGCGCCCGCGCCTAAACCAGTGAAGGAGCCCGCTAAGGGCCGCGCCACGTCCACGCCGCGGGAGAAAACTAAGGAAGAAAAACCTGAGAAAAAGGAGGAGCCTAAGGTGAGATCATGAATGTGGACTGTGTTGTCTTAGAGATAAGGTGCATATTACAAGACTCCCGCACCCGCGCCTAAACCAGTGAAGGAGCCCGCTAAGGGCCGCGCCACGTCCACGCCGCGGGAGAAAACTAAGGAAGAAAAGCCTGAGAAAAAGGAGGAGCCTAAGGTGAGATGACCAATGTGGACTGTGTTGTCTTAGAGATAAGGTGCATATTACAAGACTCCAACCCACGCGCCCGCGCCTAAACCAGTGAAGGAGCCCGCTAAGGACCGCGCCATGTCCACGCCGCGGGAGAAAACTATGGAAGAAAAGCCTGAGAAAAAGGAGGAGCCTAAGGTGAGATGATGAATGTGGACTGTGTTGTCTTAGAGATAAGGTGCATATTACAAGACTCCCGCCCCTGTACCCGCGCCCAAACCAGTGAAGGAGCCCGCTAAGGGCCGCGCCACGTCCACGCCGCGGGAGAAAACTAAGGAAGAAAAGCCTGAGAAGAAGGAGGAGCCTAAGGTGAGATGATGAATGTGGACTGTGTTGTCTTAGAGATAAGGTGCATATTACAAGACTCCCGCACCCGCGCCTAAACCAGTGAAGGAGCCCGCTAAGGGCCGCGCCACGTCCACGCCGCGGGAGAAAACTAAGGAAGAAAAGCCTGAGAAAAAGGAGGAGCCTAAGGTGAGATGATGAATGTGGACTGTGTCGTTTTAGAGATAAGGTGCATATTACAAGAGCCCACGGGCCCGCGCCCGCGCTTAAACCAGTGAAGGAGCCCGCTAAGGGCCGCGCCACGTCCACGCCGCGGGAGAAAACTAAGGAGGAGAAGCCTGAGAAGAAGGAGGAGCCTAAGGTGAGATCATGAATGTGGACTGTGTTGTCTTAGAGATAAGGTGCATATTACAAGACTCCTGCCCCTACGCTCGCGCCCAAACCAGTGAAGGAGCCCGCTAAGGGCCGCGCCACGTCCACGCCGCGGGAGAAAACTAAGGAAGAAAAGCCTGAGAAGAAGGAGGAGCCTAAGGTGAGATGATGAATGTGGACTGTGTTGTCTTAGAGATAAGGTGCATATTACAAGACTCCCGCCCACGCGCCCGCGCCTAAACCAATAAAGGAGCCCGCTAAGGGCCGCGCCACGTCCACGCCGCGGGAGAAAACTAAGGAGTAGAAGCCTGAGAAGAAGGAGGAGCCTAAGGTGAGATGATGAATGTGTACCATGTTGTCTTAGAGATATGGTGCATATTACAAGACTCCATCCCACGCGTCCACGCCCGTGCTTTAACCTATGAAAGAGCCCGCTAAAGTCCGCGCCACGTCGACGCCGCGGGAGAAAACTAAGGAGGAGAAGCCTGAGAAGGAGGAGGAGCCTAAGGTGAGACGATGAATGTGGACTGTGTTGTCTTAGAGATAAGGTGCATATTACAAGACTCCATCCCACGCGTCCACGCCCATGCTTTAACCAGTGAAAGAGCCCGCTAAAGTCCGCGCAACATCGACGCCGCGGGAGAAAACTAAGGAGGAAAAGCCTGAGAAAAAGGAGGAGCCTAAGGTGAGATGATGAATGTGTACCATGTTGTCTTAGAGTTAAGGTGCATATTGCAAGACTCCCGCCCATGCGCCCGCGCCCGCGCCCAAACCAGTGAAGGAGCCCGCTAAGGGCCGCGCCACGTCGACGCCGCGGGAGAAAACTAAGGAAGAAAAGCCTGAGAAAAAGGAGGAGCCTAAGGTGAGATGATGAATGTGGACTGTGTTGTCTTAGAGATAAGGTGCATATTACAAGACTACAGTCCCTGCGCTCGCGCCCGCGCCTAAACCAGTGAAGGAGCCCGCTAAGGGCCGCGCCACGTCCACGCCGCGGGAGAAAACTAAGGAGGAGCCTAAGGTGAGATGATGAATGTGGACTGTGTTATCTTAGAGATAAGGTGCATATTACAAGAAACTAAAGTGATATACGAGTCATTATTGCTTAATATTAACGTCAAAATATACGTGTAACAATGATAAATAAACTTTCAGTTGCCTATTGATATTAAGGATTGAATTTTTTGTAATCATACTATATTACGTGTCTTGAAATGTTGGAGATCGACAATGTATCGTATGACAAAACAGAACAAAAAAGCACCTAATTCTTATATTAGATGTTATTTAAAAAGTAATGCTTTCGTACTGATCTTGACTTACTAAGATGGAAAATCAGCAGTAATTTAACTTTTTACTTTATTCTAACAGGTCGAAGAAACTAAGCCAAGTGCTGTAGCATCTGCCGCGGACAAACTGACGTCCCTATCTCTATCGCAGCCGACACCAGCCAACCAGACTCCGGTTAAGCCCAAGAAACTCTCCATACCTGGTAAATACACTCACTAAAATATACTTTATTACCTAACACCCAAAGTCCATAATAATTGTGTACCTGGTTATTTACCATTTACATTTTAAAATGCACTTTATTATCAAAGTCCCAGAGTTTATAATAATTACTTTGTTCTTAGGCGGCAATGTGGGTAGCTTCAAGGATCAGTTCGAGAGAAGAGCGTCTCTGACGTCACCACCAGAGCCGAAACGAATAGTGCCCAAACCAGGCTAGTATTATTTTAATTTTAAATGTACCTTAGTAAAATCCATTTTAGTAAGCATGGACATATAAAAACGTGCAGACGAGACAACTTTTCTGTCGGCCTACTAAGAAATACATCCACTTTTTGAACGAGCCTCCTTCTAAGGCCTACTCATTTGTAATACATAATTATTATTCGAATCAATGGCTACTTAATCCAACGTAGGAAGTTCAAAGTTACATGACTGTAAGGTACCTAAGTCAAAACGGTCGCTTTATTGTTAATGATGATGTTATAATATACCTTATTTTGTCAGCAGTAGTGTCCAAAATTGCCAAGCCCAAAGCGCAGAGTGAGGAGCGTGAATCGGCGCCGCGGCCTGAGCCCGGCTCTGTGCGTTTGCAACAGATCGGCATCGAGCCCTCGCCGGTAAGCATTTTTCTTATTTATGTACTTACTTGTTTATTTACTACTAGAGTTTTATTGTAGGCTACGCGCCCTAGTGGAAAGCTTCTACCGGCGGTTTATTGGTTCATGTCTCAAAAAGTTGTAGCGTGCGACGCGTGCGTATAGCAATTAAATGCCGTGAACTATCTAAAATATTTTTATACCTAAATTGAGAATCGTTTATTTGCCCCATACACACATACATTTTCTAATTTAGCCCCTACAAGTGGATGATGATCTCTTCAAACGATACCTATGTGATATAACTTATGCCGAAAAACTATTTCGGAAATAGGAAAAGGCTGTTCTATTCTTCCAGTTGTAATATAGATCCGATGTAGCATCAACAATGTGTAGTTCATTTAACTACACTCAACATCAAATAAACCGCACCTTCCGCGACGCGAACTTAAAAGATTTTCTTCTGACACAATTATGGTACCCCAACAATATTGGTGTTGTTTGAAAGCCCAATAAATAGCCTTAAAGAAAAATACATTTCATTTCTAAATAAATGATTAAAATATACCATAAATGTGACTTGAAAATAGACCTCTCTTTGGGCTCACCTCTGGGATCAATTAAACCAATTTTTATGGTTATAAAACCAAATAAAGATCTCACGTGTCCTCTTTACAGATGGATAGCGATTAATCCCAACTTAACAGTTTTATAAGTCATAAAAAATGGCTATAGCGTAACTACCTATTTTTTGAAGAAGTGACTCTGGATCCTTGTAAAGACACATTTTTGGGGTAAAAACCTTTCCTTTAATGAAATGAAGTTTAGAACTAGGCTTTCAAATGGTACCAATGTTGGTGGGAAGTGGGGATGCATATTTGATAAGTGCTTGTCGCGGGAGGTGCGATTTATTTGATGCCGAGTGTATTTACAGAATAGCTAATGCCCTTTCTTTATTATTGTAGACACCAACAGAAGAGCCGAGTCGCGGCGGCGTGAAGAAGACCGAGAGTGAACCCTCGCACGGCACTCCCGCTGTCGACCCCTCTGTACTGCTGCAAGACGCTAGGAGGTTTGTTGCTAATTCAACTTTAGAATAAGCCTAATTAGGGTCTTTATTTGCTTGACACTAAGCTCAAGGTGCTTCGAGCCTGCTATGAACATAGAATTCAGAATTAGTTGGGAGCTATAAAATAGTGGGCATGAAGATTTGTGCATTTATATCAGCTCCAGTCAGGAGTTCCCTTCTCATCATCATTCACGAAGAGATAAGTGACGCCACGCCCACATGGCACAAGGGTAAGCTTTTTAATGACGTCAACCCTGACTTCAAATGCAACCCACCTGATCCGATCTTCAACGCAGTACTACACCTCGGCACTAGGAAAAGCGAGAGCGAAGACAACAGGTGGCAAGATAAAGGAAGCCACGCCCACTATACGGCAGCCAAGCTTTTGAGTTGCCGACTTCATATCAAACCCACCTGTTGCGATGGTGGATGCAAACCCACAGCACGCGGTGCTGCGGCTGTGGGTTTGCATCCACCATCCTTGCAGAATTAGTTGGAAGCTATAAAATAGTGGGCATGAAGATTTGTGCATTTATATCAGTTAAGAAAAGAGCTACTTATTTAACTCTTCAAAGAAACTTATCAATTAAAAATGTTGTGATATGATTTGCAGAAGTCTACAAAACTCAATGGCAAAACTCGTTGAAGAGAAAGCCGGTGAAGAAAACCGCAGGCGAGCGGCTCGCGATATCATCTCTACTGCCATACGTACAGGTAATAAGAGTGTTATAACATTTCATTCAATTAATTAGTTTATTTCTAGCTGTGCAGATCAATATTAATTGCAATCGGTCAATACGTCTCATTTTTATGAAATTGTATCCACAACGAAATTAACGTTATCTCAGGATCTGCATTACGCATCAATTACTTCGATTGATTTAAGTGAAATACAAAAATAGTCCATTGATAAAAAATATGCACACAGGACAAAAATGTTAAAAAGTTAATGTTTTGAAATCCCAAACCGTCTAAATAAGATTGATACATTTTACTAACGTTTTGAGACAAATAGATAAATACTTTCTATCTATCTACTTTTACTAACGTTTTGAGACAAATAGATAAATACTTTCTATCTATCTACTTTTACTAACGTTTTGAGACAAATAGATAAATACTTTCTATCTACTTTTTTGGAGTTCAATGTTCCAAACTTATACGTCGACGTTTGTGTACCAATAGCATATTATTATGGATCCCCCAGGCAAGCCGCCAGTGCCATACGGGCGGTCGTCGTCGGCGGGCGTGGCGTCGCTAGTGTCGCCGCCCGGCACGCCGCCTGCCGCGCCTTCGTCCACGCCGAGAGTGTTCCGCACAGAGGCGCAGCATCGTGTAGAAGACCATCGTAATAGGTAGGTTGATGGTGACGTCACTCAAAATGTTTCCCCAGTGTCTTATAGTGGGCGTGTCTTCGATCGTGTCGCCGCCCACCGCGCCCGCTGCAACGCCCCACGTGTTCGTCACTTCGCAATAGGTGTGAAGCGTTTGAAGGTTCGATGGTGACGTCACTCAATAGCTTGCCTCAGTGCCATACGGGCGGTCGTCGTCGGCGTCGCTAGTGTCGCCGCCCGGCACGCCGCCTGCCGCGCCTTCTTCCACGCCACGAGTATTCCGCACAGAGGCGCAGCACCGCGTAGAAGACCATCGCAACAGGTGGGTTGATGGTGACGTCACTCAAAATGTTTCCCCAGTGTCTTATAGTGGGCGTGGCTTGATGGTGTCGCCACCCACAACGCCTGTTGCTATACCCCTCGTGTTCCTCACTTCGCAATAGGTGGGTAGCTTTTGAAGGGTCGATGGTGACGTCACTCAATAGCTTGCCTCAGTGCCATACGGGCGGTCGTCGTCGGCGGGCGTGGCGTCGCTAGTGTCGCCGCCCGGCACGCCGCCTGCCGCGCCTTCTTCCACGCCGAGAGTATTCCGCACAGAGGCGCAACACCGCGTGGAAGACCATCGCCACAGGTAAGTATTATAGGAAAGATGATGACGTCACTCAAAAGATTTCCCGAGTGTCTTATAGTGGGCGTGGCTTGGTGGTGTTGCCACCCACAGCGCCTGCTGCTATACCCCTCGTGTTCCTCACTTCGCAATAGGTGGGTAGCTTTTGAAGGGTCGATGATGACGTCACTTAATAGCTTGTGTTAGTGCCATACGGGCGGTCGTCGTGGCGTCGCTAGTGTCGCCGCCCGGCACGCCGCCTAACGCGCCTTCTTCCACGCCGAGAGTATTCCGCACAGAGGCGCAGCACCGTGTAGAAGACCATCGCAACAGGTGGGTTGATGGTGACGTCACTCCAAAGACTGCCTCAGTGTCATATAGTGGGCGTGGCTTCGATCGTGTCGCCGCCGACCGCGCCCGCTGCTACGCCCCACGTGTTCGTCACTCCGCAATAAATGGGTTGCTTTTGAAGGGTCGATGGAGACGTCACTTGAAAGTTTGGTTCGACAGTGATATCACAATACTATAAAGTGGGCGTGGCGTCACTCAATTCCTAAACCTCTTCGTGGAGGAAATGCTTCACGCACAATGTTGTCGCGAGAATGGGCTCTAGGGGGACTCCCTTGATGTCAACGACTCACTCATGATATTTTATGAGATAAAATTAACGGAATTAAATCTCGTAATCTCTCGTACACACGCCCAGCGCTCGCCTTATATTTATACAGGGTGGAAACGATAAGTGATCTCACTCGATTATTTCTAAACTATACAAGATATCCAAAAACTGGTTACTGATCATGAAAGTCCTTCACGAGCTCTATCCAACGGCACCAATAATACTTTACAAAATAAACTGGATCTATCCGAAAATTCAATGTATCCAGCTTCCATACATTTAGTACTGCGACAGTCATGGCACTCATGTCTTGATAATATTATAGCAAGTAAAGCCTAAAACCAGTGTTTTCCATGAATAATTTTAAATAAGAATGCAATTTACGAGTTCATTATAAGTGTTTATTATTTAATAAAAAATATTAACACTTCTAATATTGCGTGGCTGGCATATTTTAGTATGGAGGCTGAAAACATTGAATTTTCGGATAGATCCAGTTAGTTCTGTAACCTATTACTGGTGCCGTTTGATACGTGCTCGTGAAGCACTTTCAGGATTAGTAACCAGTTTTTCGATATCTTGTATAGTTTAGAAATAATCGAATGAGATCACTTATCGTTTCCACCCTGTATAAATATAAGGCGAGCGCTGGGCGTGTGTCAATACATACGAGATTTAATTCCGTTAATTTTATCTCATAAAATATCATGACTTATCGTTTCCACCCTGTATGTATACCATATGTATGTCTTACTTCTTTCCCCAGGGGCGTGTCAGTGGAGCGCATCATCCCCATCCATGTGGCTGAAGATGCGCCGGCGCCGTCCACGCCGAAGCCGGCGCCGCCTGCCACGCCGCCCGCCGCGCCCAGGCCCGCACAGACACCGCTCAGGTAACTTATTACTTATGGCATAGAGGTCAAAATCGAATGGAGAAGTTACGGTAAAGCGTAATATATCAATAAAATGGATAAATTAAGGAAAAGGATGATTTTTGTCTGAAATCTTTCCCATGATAACCTCGCATGACGCTTCAGTTAGCGGAACAAACAGTACAAAGTATTATAATTATATCGACTAACCGCCTTTTTAAATCGCACACTTATTTATTTATTTATTAGGTACACCAACAAAGCCACATACAGTTCATACATTTTAACATGGTTTTTTAACATATGATGCGTATAATATGACCTCAATTACAAGTATACGCAGCATTTCTTTTTGCAAGGTTAGGGTACATTATTATACGCTAGAAAACAAAAAACAATTGAATAGAGTTTAAGCACCGAACAATAAAAAGGTTTTAGTAATTGTTTGTATACGGGCTGCCCAAGACTACTCGTGTAAATACTGGTAGTGGACAGGATTCGGTAAAAACGAATGAAACTATCATTTTTCGAGAATAGCCTTTTTACTTGACAGCGCCAGAAGGAGGGTTATGTTTTTCGAGTGTATGTATGTTATGTTTGCAAATAGATTATGATTGTTATATTTTCATTTCATCATCTCTAATCCCAGGCGGCTGGTATCATCCGAATCCAGCGCAAGCGAAGCGTGCTCCAGCCCCGGCGAGCCGATCAAGAAGTCTGCGCGCGAGTTCATCATCCCTATCGCGGTGGAGGGCAAGGGCTACGTCACGCCGCGCCAGAGGAGCCTCGAGCCAGAAGCCGCTTCTACCACTTCTCGTGTGCCAAGGACACCCAAACCGAGGCGGATCAGGTAATGTGACACTTATACACAAGACAATAGGTCCCAATATTGAAATTATCCCCATTGCGGTAAATGGCAAGGGCTACGTCAAGCCGCGCCAAAGGAGCCTCGAGCCAGAGGCCGCTTCTACCACTTCTCGTGTGCCAAGGACACCGAAACCGAGGCGGATCAGGTAATGTGACATTTATACACAAGACAATAGGTCCCAATATTGAAATTATCCCCATTGCGGTAAATGGCAAGGGCTACGTCACGCCGCGCCAGAGGAGCCTCGAGCCAGAAGCCACTTCTACCACTTCTCGTGTGCCAAGGACACCATTATACGCAAGACAATAGGACCCAATATAGAAATGACAAATTGCGATGGAGGACAAGGGCTATGTGTACGCCGCGCCAGAAAAGCCTCGAGCCCGAAGCCGCTTCTACCACTTCCCATGTGCCAAGGACACCCAAACCGAGGCGGATCAGGTAATATGATATTTATAGGCTTAAAATAGGGCATAATATTGAAATTATTCCCATCCACGTCACACCAGAAAAGCCTGAAGCCAGAAGCCGCTTCTACCACTTCTCGTGTGCCAAGGACACCCAAACCGAGGCGGATCAGGTAATGTGACTGTTAATGGAATGAAAATAGGTTCCAATGCTATGATAAGAAAAACTTTATTTAGCATATTATTATATGATAAAATAAAAAGAAAGTTGCCATCCCTGAGGCTGATAAACTCTGAGTCAGAAGTCGCTTCTACCACTTCTCGTGTGTCAAGGACACCAAACACGAGGCAGATTAGGTAATGTAACTGTTAATGGATTGAAAATAGGTTCCAATGCTATGATAAGAAAAACTTTATTTAGCATAATAATATAAAAAACAAAAAAAAGTTGCAGTACACATTTCTTAAAAATAAGCTATGGTGAAATGATGATGTTTTGACAATAAAACGTTTTATTTCAGTAATTTTTACAAAGTGACAAGAAGATTAAAATTATATTAATTTTTAAATCATGTGTATTACAGTAGCCTTGTCAGCGGTGGAGAATCAGAGGAAGAAGACGATACACACATGCACAGACTGCGGTAAGTTGTAAAATATTGTCAAGGACAATCTTTAGTTATGGCGCAGGTACACTATATGGGAAATTGATTAAGATGTATAGTTTAAACACGCACTTCGGTTAGTTTCGTCGTGCGTCACCCAGACTTCGATGTGCGAGCTCGCGCTTCGTCTCATAGTGTATCTGCGCCATTACATGGGCAAAGAATAGGGATGATGACTGGGTAATGAAATCGAAATTCTATTTAGTCCATCAGACAGATAATTACAGTATTATATTGAGTTGAAATGTCGCGTGACGTCACTTTTGAGTAAAAAAATCTACTCAAGCGTGACGTAACGCGCCATTTCAACTCGATGTAGCACTGTTATTATTTGATTATGAAAGAAAGTAAAAAATATGAGTCTAATATTTTCTACTTATCTGTGGACATATAATTGAAACTTTGTCATCTAGCCTACTGCAAATTCGACCTAGAAAGAGTTTATAAGAATATTTTTATTTATCACTGCAGGTCGACGCGCGCGGCCCGAGCGGAGTCGGTGAGCTCGGGCGAAGAGGACGAGGAGGACGAAGGCTTCCACCTGCTCACGGCTGAGAACCTGTTCTCCACGCTGCTACACAGGGTAAGTCCATGACATAATAACCCGACGGCTACGGGTTAGGACTGCTGATTCAAGAGGACTATTTCGATCCTCATCCGTAAACGAACTAAAGTCGCTGACATAGCCCGACGGATAAGCAAGCTGAAGTGGCAATGGGCAGGGCACATAGTACGCAGAACTGACGGCCGATGGGGCAGCAAGGTTCTGGAGTGGAGGCCGCGTACCGCAAAACACAGCGTAGGACGTCCACCCACAAGGTGGACCGACGACATCGTAAAGGTAGCGGGAAAGCGCTGGACGCAGGCCGCTGCCAACAAGGTAACATGGAAAGCATTGGGGGAGGCCTACGTTTAGCAGTGGACGTCCTATGGCTGAGATGATGATGATTATGATTTCGATCCTCGGTAACCGCTAGACTTGGTGAACATACTGCTAAGGCCTCAAGTCATTCACATAAGAATGAATTCTGATTGATTAGGGGCCGTCCATAAATTACGTCATCGATTTTTTCAGATTTTAGACCCCCCCCCCCCTACAATCATCCTAGCGTCATTTCTTAATGACCCCCCCCCCCCTTCTCCCAAAATTGACGTCATTACCAGTTTGACAAAATTAAAACACTTGTAGAATCACCTTTAATTTTTTTTTTTATAGATAGAGTGATTCTTAAGGAAGGTTTATATGTATAATACACGTAAGTACCACGGGCGAAGCCGGGGCGGGCAGCTAGTATTATATGTAATCAGTAGCGGCGGGGGGGGGGGGGCCCCCCCCCCTAATTTAGAATGACGTAATATATGGACGGCCCCTTATTCAAAACGTTTCTCCCCTCCGCTCCGCCTTGGTGGAAACCGGGCCTATCACAAGTGATATAATCAAACATGTCATGTCATGTAATGTCAATGTGTATCATTTAGTACCTAATAAATATTTTTTCTTTCTTTCTTTCTTTCAAACACAAAGTTGTAAACGCATAAAAAAAATTTGATCTTTAGGATATCCATCACATCTTTCCTTTTATCAGCTTATGTTGTGTTTTGACGACAAATGCCCGTTTTCAGCATCAAACCCTAATTTGTAAGTGACCCCTATGGTAACACCTAACAGGAATTTTAAAATTGGGGATTGGTGGCGTAAACGGGCATTAGTCACACACATGTACGTTATATATATGATAGAAAATCAACTTGATATCTATTTATTGCACAGGAGGCGGCACGCAGCCTATCTATTTTCGTTTATTGTTTACAATATATTTAATTCGCAATAAAGATATTTTGAATATTATTTCTTGAACTACTACCAGGCCTGTTCATCTCCGCGAGTTTACATCGAAAACAAAACACGCACGATTGCCCCCTACAAGAGTACTATTCGACAAGGCCTCACATACGAGCGAACATTGACTCACGCACGCGTATTCTTGTGTATGATGGAAAAAAATAAAGAAAATGGTGTACTAAATACTGTGCAGTATTTAACTGCCTAAATAATAATAAAAACACAGAATGTACTTTTTTTAAATGCCTGAAGACACTGAGAGGTAAATAAGTAGTTAATATTATTCATGATAATTCATGCTATATCATGTATTTCCTCCGCCATTTTCCGCAGTTTGGCACCTCACGTCACATCATTTTACCGCGAAGTCAGCCCTATAGCTTCGGCGCAGTGCCGATCACTGACGTTTGTCAACAAAATGGTGCTTGACTCTTGAGACAGGCTAATTTACACCATATTGTTAANCCCCCCCCCCTAATTTAGAATGACGTAATATATGGACGGCCCCTTATTCAAAACGTTTCTCCCCTCCGCTCCGCCTTGGTGGAAACCGGGCCTATCACAAGTGATATAATCAAACATGTCATGTCATGTAATGTCAATGTGTATCATTTAGTACCTAATAAATATTTTTTCTTTCTTTCTTTCTTTCAAACACAAAGTTGTAAACGCATAAAAAAAATTTGATCTTTAGGATATCCATCACATCTTTCCTTTTATCAGCTTATGTTGTGTTTTGACGACAAATGCCCGTTTTCAGCATCAAACCCTAATTTGTAAGTGACCCCTATGGTAACACCTAACAGGAATTTTAAAATTGGGGATTGGTGGCGTAAACGGGCATTAGTCACACACATGTACGTTATATATATGATAGAAAATCAACTTGATATCTATTTATTGCACAGGAGGCGGCACGCAGCCTATCTATTTTCGTTTATTGTTTACAATATATTTAATTCGCAATAAAGATATTTTGAATATTATTTCTTGAACTACTACCAGGCCTGTTCATCTCCGCGAGTTTACATCGAAAACAAAACACGCACGATTGCCCCCTACAAGAGTACTATTCGACAAGGCCTCACATACGAGCGAACATTGACTCACGCACGCGTATTCTTGTGTATGATGGAAAAAAATAAAGAAAATGGTGTACTAAATACTGTGCAGTATTTAACTGCCTAAATAATAATAAAAACACAGAATGTACTTTTTTTAAATGCCTGAAGACACTGAGAGGTAAATAAGTAGTTAATATTATTCATGATAATTCATGCTATATCATGTATTTCCTCCGCCATTTTCCGCAGTTTGGCACCTCACGTCACATCATTTTACCGCGAAGTCAGCCCTATAGCTTCGGCGCAGTGCCGATCACTGACGTTTGTCAACAAAATGGTGCTTGACTCTTGAGACAGGCTAATTTACACCATATTGTTAATGACATTGAGCATACATATTTTTAAATACCTTCGCGAAGTAAAACTTCTGTACGTAGTACTTATTATTATTCTGTGCTACTACATTCAACTTTATAATCCTCAGGTTCGCGCGTTAACCAACCGGCTCAACGGCGAGGAAGGGCCGGGCTTCCCGCACCACCCGCACTCGCTGTTCAACAACCTGCAGTCGCCTTTCTTCAACAGGTACCCTCGTGTAGCGCTCGACTAGTTGTGCCGCTTAACATCACCCGGCCTATCGTGGGCGTACGACTCGTTTGTGACATTGTTTTGTTATTGTTTATGTTTCAATGAGGGTTTTCGCGAATGAAAAATCCGCCAGATGGCAATACGTAGACGCGAGGTCCAAATGCTGCATGATTGGTTATTTTTGACATAAAATTGACAGATATCTCAAAATCCACATCCACGTCCCGCCATCTAGCGGATCTAGCATTCGCGAAAACCCTCATTTTATAATGGATTCGTGCGGTTTGTTTATAGCCAGTGTCAATTTGAACAAATATGTGCCGTGTCTCTTACGCAAATAAATGATTTCTATTATATACTATTCTATTCTAAGTAAAACGAGAAAATGTTGCCTGAGAAAAAAAATGGACGGCACATAAGTTAATGATGCAGATGACAGTTATGAGTTAGGTGATATCATATTTTAAGAGTAGGCACACACCGTTGATTTTTAGTTGGCCGATAGTTGTGCCCGATTTTAAATTGTATGAAGAATCGGCCAAATTGAATCGGCGTAGTGTGCGCACTCCCATACATGCCCATACTGATCAACTGCCCATGCCCCAGAAGGGGGAGAGTGGCAAGGGACAAATGGACAAAGATTAAAGAACTTGTAGAGAGTCAAGAATTGCGCGCGGTGGAGTGCAATCTGCCGTAGGCAGCCGCAATTCCGCGCGCATCTCTCAAGATTCGGCCACAATAACCGCGAGGTTGGTATGGCCATGGGTGGTGGTGGGATTTGATCAACTGCCCGACTAAACTATCGGCCGACGAAAAATCAACGGTGTGCGCTTAGAGTAAAGACTTCTCTGGTTATAAACTAATTGAAGAACATTGTTATTTAGCAGCAAATTGACTTGCTGCCGATTAAATATTGTCACAACTTTGTTTTATCGTCCACGATAGGCAATCTCACCTACTTGATTTAATAAATCTTACTTTTTGGTTCAGCATATTTATTAAACTTACGCCCCTTTATCAATTTCTATTTCATTTATAATATTAACTGTAATTTTGTTCATTATGACAGATCAAAAACAACTGTCTTATTTCGTTTATTAACATGTTTATTTGGTTCCTACATTTTATTTCCAACTAAATTATTAATATTTTCAATTTTGCGCATGCAGCCCCCACTTACCCAGGAGACATCTGTTGTGAGTATCACTTTTATTACTTACTACACTACGTCACGACACATTACACATTCACACAATCCTCTTAATTTAATGACACAACATTTAATTTTCATGTAACACAATTTTCATCTTAAACTTCATAAAACTATATTAGTTTCATAAGTCAACCAGTTGTTAAATATTCTCCAAAAAATTTTATGACAAGGATACATACAAATGTTCAGTAGTTTTCATAAGTTTTAGTTTTATGACCACACTTTGTAAATTGTTAATTTTCTACATATTTCAACATTAGTATACCAATCATTTGTTATATTTACATGCAGCACTCATAGATATGTGGAAAACAAAAGAAGTGTTTCGGAAACGTGAGTTTATAGATCTATTTTATTAATTTATCATGATGTGTAATGTACCATCGGCCACAGTGTTAACTATCCATTGCCTGTCATGTCGTCTCGTTCTATCGCAAAGAATCACTATTTGATTAGAGCGAGAGCAAAAACGGAAATGGATAGTTAACAGTGTGGCCGTGTGTACAGTGTACAAATTATTGGACAGTACATATTACTTTAGTTATTTAAATTGTGAATAAGAAAGCATTTCACATTATAGTTTAGTATATAGATCGTTTCATCCATGAAGACGCGCCCCACCACTTTTTGGTCAAGGGAAGCGCGGGGTGCGAGGAGTTTCGTAATGTAATCTCTTCGTCGGAGATTTCAGTCACTGTACTTATAATATTCTACGTACGTGTAATTCTGCCCTTCAGGGCTGCTCTGATTCGTTATAATATATTTATTTCCATGTCCAACGTCGCCAATGATTAAATAATACAGCATTCCGCTAATCCATCATTTTTTATTAGTAAACAATGTGTTTCTATGGAAACGTCATCCAAAGACATGACAGCATCCAAGAGTGCACACGCACACTACAATAATGACGCTCGGATTCCTTGGATCAAACTCCCCGCATCCCGCGTTTCCTTCAACCAAATAGTGGTGGGGTGCGTCTTCGTGGATGAAACGATCTATAGTCTATAGTTATGTATAGCTTCTAGCGAGTCAAGATGGATACAATTTTTTATGTGCCTCTGTCATTTTAGTAAAGAAGTGTTGACAATGACAAGCTACTGTATTTCTTTTGTCATTAAGGTCTAATGTTAACATGCTTTCTATACTATTTCCAGTCGCGAAGGTTGGGGCGCGCGCGACCTGCACGCGAACTTCGACTCTATGTTCAACAAGCCGCGCCACGCGCCCCGAGGTGAGTCCCGCACGGCCCGCCCCGCCCCGCCCCCGCCGCGGGAAACGTTGCCAATGTCACGCACAAGCACTAGCTCTGATACACACACAAGCACCGAATAAACACATGGAACTTCACGTTTAATCCTTCAAGCTCCGCGAATCTAAAGTCTGTTCGCCGAGAGTTGATAAAAAAAATTAAATATCAGATGTTCTAAACTCATTATGAATTGCGGCCCGCTAATTATTTTTGTCGATATAATGAAAAAGTTGGTAGATTATTTGGCCTGGCCTTTTTTTGGCCTGGATTCTCGGCTCGGTTACAGTTTAATTTTGGACTACCATTTATAAGAATGTTCTAAAAATACCAAAATCTACTAAACGATTTCCCACTACTAAATCATCGTTCTCTTTGCCTCAAATCTACCAAAAAAGTAGAAATCTACTAAAAGTGGTCACGCTGTGGCCGCCGCCGCCCGCCGGCCGGGGCGCTTGACGACAGCTGCGTGGCTCGTACCATGGTACTCAGTGCGCGTTGTGACAAACGACGCCCGCTATACAGAATGCGATAATTAATAATTATTAAGCGACAGTCGCTATTGCAAGACATTTCATAATATTTATCAACTCTCGGCGAACAGACTTTAGACACAATAAAATCAATTGTTAGGCGGCAGCCGGCTACCGCTTGGGGGCTGAGAGGTTAAAACCGGTTTAATCTGGAATTCGATTCTCGTATTTTCGGCTCCACAAGGAATATATTGAGACGAAATTACGGGTGTCGTGTTACGGAGTATCCTTGCTGATTTCACAATAAAGCACTTTAGATTTTTTGATAAGTAGCTTTATTCGTCTTATTTACTCACCCTACGAAAGTGGCTTGAGTAAGAGAGATGAATAAAGTTAATGGATTGAATTGAATACACCATAAAGTATAGATTTACATAAAGTAGCAAAATAGTTTGTTGTGAAATCCTGTCTTAAATGTAAAGTTCCGATGTAATATGTAATTATAAAAACAAATTGATGTTAATTCTTTATGTGCAAAAATCATATCGAATTGTAGCTTTGTGCTTTGTTTGGATTTAATTGATTATAAATCGTGTTTGAAAATTTTATAAATAAAAGTAAAGTGTCAAGCGCTTTGACGAGTTGTCGACATAAAATGACGCGAAGATTAAATAAAATTTAATAATTAAATTACAACAATTTGCGCAAACAACAAATTGGGTTGGATCTTGTGATCGATGTCTCGATTTCAAATTATTATTTTTTTGTTTTCGCAGTTTGTACAAAATGTTTATAACTTCAATGCTATATGTGCGACCATCTTAGGATGGTTGTGCCTACGGCAGTGAAGAAATAGCATATTAATGCTAAAATGATAATTTAAATATTTTTTTTTTTGGGGTATCAGTCTCGCGCGCTAAATCAATAAAACTTTTTTTACATCAAATATTAATTTATTGTTGAATACATAGAACTCATTCATTGCTGTTATGAAATTTTGTTGCTTTTATAATTAGTTGATCATGAATCTCGATGTCAAACATATTTTATACACAAAATTATTTAAATCATAATTGTAAGCTTTCAATGTTCATGTTTGTAATTAAGTTTTGGAAATCAATTAAATGTTAAAATTGCACAAAATCTTTTTTTCAAAAACACCGTTTTGAGCATGAAATGCAAAATTCATTGTACATCGCCGATGCACCGCCGACGCGCAGTAGATAGAGGCACGGGCTACGTCACTCACAAGCTTGCACTAAACAAACGAATTAACTATCGACCACATGAGCTGCCTTCGATGTCCCCAGAGTAATAGATAGTCCGCGATCAATACGATATTTGCGACGTTTTCCATCGGTCGATTTTTTTTTTCTAACAACGTCGTGTATAATTGACTATTCATCGATAGTCCATTATATAACAGTGTGTAATGTTTTTTCATTAACATCTTTTTATTAATCAATTTAACCTATTTTTGCATTGTAGTGTTTTATGTACTTAAATTGCATTCTTTGTGCAGGTGTTGACTTTCTCCTACCCGCTAACACTAGCAGGAAAATGTTGCGTTGCAATCGATTATCATAAAGTTTCGACTCATTCAGTAGAGTGCATGAACTGTAAAAAGGCATATCACGTGTCGCATCGCAGTCGCCTTTGCTACATTCAGCATCACAATAAGAAAGAGTGTAGATAATGTAAAAAATATTTTAACTGTCGGTAATTTTCAGTGAGAGAGGATTAACCTCGAGCAGGCAAAAAGGTTGTCAAATAGAGAGTTGATTTGTTTGGAAGTTATAGTACATGTGTAGCTAGTGGATGTGGTAGCACTCGCCGCAGCCACGGCGCGCAGTGAGTTGTATGGTGTGGTTGCAGTGGGCTTGCGCGTTACACTGCATGCTCCGACCAAATCTTCACTTCACAGCGGCACCAGCAACCACAAACCGGCCACGAACGCCACGCAGGAATAGGTACTTAACTATATTTTTTATTTTACTCATATTTTTTATGTGTTTTGTGTTCGCACCGTGCGCCGCGGCCGTTCCGAATAGAGATGCCTTCACTCGTATCGTGGTATACTACGCTGAAGCTGTCACTAGATCGCATTGGTATTATTTTTTTCTCGAGAGCAACATTTTAATGCATACTTTTGTGTTCCGTTTTCGCACATCTAAAGCTTCTCGTTTGATGTCTAATCGATCACCTCGTATTTAGACTAGTTTTCTATTTATTAACTTCTAACAGTCCGCATCCGAGATCGCACCGGCGCGGCCCCGGCCCCGGCCGTCGACCGCGGTCGGCGCGCCACGGGCGGGCGCCCCGCGAGGACGCTGTGAATACCATCCCGGCGCGCATTCTGCATGATCGAAACGTGTGTTTTTCGGTTACATTTCAGGCGGTAGTAAGAAAAGTAAGGAACCGCGGGCGCGCGCCGACGACGGCGACGCGCTCGACCTGTCCGACCTCGACCTCAGCGCGATACAGTTCTCCGAGCGCGAGATGCGCGCGCTGTCCGGCCTCACGCCCGCGCTCTCGCGCCGCCTGCAGCGCCAGCTGCTCGCACACCTGCCGCCGCGCGCCGCCACGCGCCTGCGCCGCACGCTCTCGCTGCGCGACCCCGCCGACCCCGCCGCCGACCCCGCCACCTCCGACCCCGCGCCCGCCGACCCGCCGCCCGACCGCCCGCCCGGGGCGGAGCGCTCCGTCTCGCTCGACCTCGACACCGAATCGTCGCTCGCCCAGTTCTGTACGCTGCCGCGGCTCCGGCGCCGCTCGTCGGCGTCGCGCGAGAAGTCGCCGCCGGGCGAGGCCGCGCCGCCGCCGCCCGAGCCGCGCTCGCGCCCGCTGCTCAGCAAGTACCTGACGCCGGAGCGCGCGCTGTCGCTGGACGACTCCTCGCACTCGTCGGAGGGCAGCGTGCCGTCGGAGGCGGGCGGCGCGCGGCGCCACTCGATGCGCCTCGCGGGCGAGCCGGCGCGGCGCCGCGTGTCGCGCTTCCTGCGCTCGGACTTCTTCGACGCCCCGCCGGACGAGACCGCGCTCGCGCGCCGCCGGAAAGAGAAGGAGCTCGAGACTCAGAAGATCCTCCGGGAGATCAGGGAGAAGAGGAACAGGTCCCTCGAGGCCGCCGGCGTCGCGAGCCCGACGGAGGCGGACGACCCGGCGAGGAAGTGCCTGTCGCCCGTGTCGCTGCTCGGCGGCAAGGAGCGCAGCAGGTCGAACACGCCGTTCTTCCCGATCCTGGACAACATCAAGGAGACGGCGGCGGACACGTCGCCGGCGGCCACGCGCGAGCGCCGGACGGCGGCCGAGCGGCCTCGCTCGCGCGTCGAGGACTCGCTCGGGCGGGAGTCGCGGCTGACGCGGCCGCGCAGCTACCCGGTCAAGAACCTCGACGCCGCCGACGAGCCCGGCCTGACCCCGGCCGAGAGCAACGAGGAGAACGAGTGCCGGGACAAGAGTCTGCAGAGGGAATCCAAACTGATCCGACCGAAGAGCTACCCCGCGAGCAGTCCCTCTCCCGAAAAGGTGTACATAGACCGCACCCTCAGCAAGAGAGACGAGCCGCGGGCGGCGGCCGCCGAGGAGTCTCGGAAAGAGGCCGGCGAGCACGTAAAAGGCGATGGGGCGCGGGCGGCGGGCGACGCGGGCGGCGCTGCCGACGTCGAAGTTAGCTTTAGTATTACCTTACCCAAGAAGAAACCCGAAAAAATTAGCAAATTAGATTCGCTCGAAATTTGCGAGCCCTCGTCTCAAACTGTGGTGACTGCGAAAGTCGACGGCGATAAATCCACGAGTGACAGTCTTGTCGTTAGGAAGTATCAGATAATTAATAGCGCCGATGACAAACCGGACCAAAAGATTGAAAACGGTATCGTCAGTAACGGTGGGTCGAAAGACATCATCGACAAAGCCAATTTGAACGCTGACGAAGCTAAAACGAAGCAGAAGGCGACAACGAACGCCAAGAAAGATGAGGTGAAAGCGAAGACCGACGGAGAGGCTGGTGAAAAGAAGGGTACGATAAAGAAAAAGATCATCAGGAAAGTTTCCTTGAAATCAAAGACTGAGTTAGGAAGTAGCCAAGACGCCGGCGAGGGAAAAGCGCCGACCGAGAAGAAAAAAGTCACAAAGAAAGTGAAAGAAAAACCTGCCGAGGATGGAACTAAACCCGCTACGGTCACAAAAAAGAAATCTGTCCTACAATCGATCGGGCACAAGTTAGAAAAGTTTACATCGACAAAATCTAGTTCCCCGGAAAAGGGAGCCGACAGTGGCACTGCTGCTAGTAAAAGTACCGATAATTCCAAAGTTAGTAGAACTCAGAGAGAGCAGTCTGTGCCCGTCACAGCTGACCCGCCCACTGAGTCGAATCTTATCAAAAGAGCCGTCACGCTTACTGATGTCGCTGCTTTAGAAACGCAACCTGCTAATAATACCAAAACCACTGTCTCAAAAGTACTGGGTCTCTTCAAAAAATTCGAACCCAAAGAAAAACCCTCAAAACCGCCCATTGAGACGTCACTAAGTGAGAACCTGGAAAAAGAGAAGATAGAAATAAACAACTTGGCTAGCAGCAAACCCGATATAGTAGCAGAATTAATATCAGAGAGCACCGAAAAAGATAAGCCCAGGCGGCCGACGTCCTTATTGCTCAACGGATTAAGTCGCAAAAACAAATATGGCAGGACGGCGAGTGACAGTGTGTCCGCAGCGTATACAGAAACTGATGACCCACCGGTACTTAAAAAAGACGAACCTAAGAACCTGAGAAACACTTTAAAACTCGACTTCTCCAGATTGCCAAGAGTGAAAAAAATAGTTCCTACAAATCCTGTGATAGAACCGCACGTTATGAATTTGACATCGGAAGATAAAGACGCCGAAAAGAAAAGTGTATGCGAAAAGAACGGCACAATATCTGACGGCATTTCTAATATCGAAAACGAAGATGCGCAAAGCCGGAGCAGATCTCGCAGCAGGTCCACCGTTTCCAACTCAGAACTCAAGTCCGATCTCAGCGCAGAAGGCAAGCCCTCGGACAAATATTCCGTGTCGCCTTCCGAGACCACCGCGCACCATCCGTTACGTAATCGAGAGTCGACCACGCCCGAAAAGGAAGATATAGTTGACAGAATACGAAGGAAAAGCTTTTACTCCAGGTTTAATGAAAAGAAGCAACGCAGGAAGAGCAGCCTGGTGGGCCCCGGCGCAGCCGAGTACGACCCGCTGGCCAGGATACACTCGCCGCCCGCCGAACCCAAGCTCGACGCCTCTCCCACCTCCCCCGGTATCTTCGACCTGTCCCCGGGCTACTCCGTCGCCTCCGACCTGTCGCCGTCCACGGAACGTTACAGGACTCTGTTGACGGATCTATCCATTAGCAATAGGAATAATATTAGGTACGATAATCACGGACTGAACGATAAAATTGACACATACCGATCGCTGGACAGAAACGATTTTAGAAAATACCCCGGCAGCAGGAGTTATCTGGACTACGATCAGCCCACCTCGTATGGCACTCACAGATATTCCAGAACCAAGTCTCTGTTGGACGACGGGCTCGACGAACCGAGTCTCGGTCAGATCAGAGATCCGCTGAAATATAGCAGAACCCTCTCCATGTATTCCCCTGGAAGTTACGCTACGTACAGACCGAAGCGAACGACGCGGAACTCTGCAATAATACTGAAAGAAAGCGAAAAGGAACCGAGCCCCGAAAATATACTGGAAAAAATTAGACAAAGAAAGAAGATATCGATCAGCGTGACTCGGAAACCGGACCCCGAAAAGGACCCACTGCCAAGGTGTGTATTGCTCTTGTACTTACGCGTTCACGTAAATAATATATTGACAATAACTCCCCGCCGTGAAAGATAATACGATTTTATCTGTGCACGCTTCACGCTTTTGAATAAATTTTACAGCACTAATGCTTTTACAATGATCTAGTATACCATGAATACAGCAGGCATCGATATCGTATGTGTAAAGAAAACGATTCTATCAGTTGTAGTTAGAATTTCATATTCAATTCATTTTAAATTCTTCTTAGATTTCTCTTCAACTTAAAATAGATCAAAATTAACGAGCAAAACTATATCGTCAGTAGATTATTTATTAATGTATATTATGTATTTCTTTCTAATAATCAACATATCATCAACATTCGCACAAACAATCGTAAGTGATGTAAATATTGTTTGTAGATATGAAACGGAGGCAACTTTACTTTCCAGATCCACTGTCTCACCTAAAGGCGAAGGCGACGGTGCAGAACGCTCTGAGAAAGCTGACTGAGAGGAACTATTGAAGCGCGAACACTAAACGAATCAATTTTGTGATTTACTTAAGCATTTGTTATCGAGTCACCATTTGAAACTTTTGTCTGACGTTTTGTAGAATAGTTAACGGAGTCCCAAAAAGGTTCCCACTTATGTTTAGCGACCGTTGTGTTAACAAACGCGATATGATCTGAAGTCGAGGCAGAATCGATGAAATCTTGCCAAAAGCCCTGCACAAATGTTATAGTGTTGTATTAGTAACACGAATCTCACCAACGACACGTGCTTACCGTAAGACTGTCTTTAGTGGCAAACGTAGATGTATACTCAAATTTCAATGAATCTCCGTCGAAATTTTGTATGTATAGGCAATCACGAAATTTTTTAGTTCCTTATTTCACGTATTGAGGGCTTATAAAATTGATTTTTGAAAAATCGAATAGGAGTAAGTATATCCACAGTCTCATTGTATTCTGAAAATTCTGTACATTATTACTATATTTTATTTATTGACAGTATTTGTTATACCGTAGTTTCATCTCGAACTGCGCACAGACTGCGAAGTATTTTATGACAGCTTTTTGAAAGCTGGACAGGTTATTAATTACATAACTAACTATTGAAATGTTATATTTTGCAAAGAACAGACTTTGTTTGTTAAGTGTTTATTGTAAATTGATTCTTATGTGCCTTTATAAAACATAAGTGACTGGATTTGATATTAGTCCATTTTATTGAAAATGATAAAATGACACGATTTTAAGTGTGTGTTTGCACAAATACGTTTTACTCAGTATGTTTAATATTAATTTTTCATAGTAATTTTATCGATTTTACATTTTTATGTGACCCTAAGTCAGACGTAAGTTATTTTTTTTATCATAATCATATAGTATTGAATGCTAAGTCACGTTGTAACAGTAATCGAATAGTTGGTGCTTAGATGATTTTGTTAGGAATAACTTGTATTTATAGATTGGACGTGTTATAGGATCACTCACTGACACTATTACATTTAGTAACAGATTAGCGTTTTTAATTGTTAGATTTATATGAAATTGGATTTCCAGACCGACAGATAAAATCCACACGAATGTAAAGTATTATTATATGAAATTATATTTGTTGCCATTTTGTATACCTGTACACGCGCCAATAAAATTGACTTGTTGAATAATAGAGGTGTAAAACTAAAATATAACTATATACATGAGTTTGACATTTTCATTTATCATCTGTGAACTATTTAATAAATTTATTTATTAAGTGTGTGGTGATTTTTAATATTTCTCGTAGATGCTATGCAGTGACCCGGACTGTGATTGTTTTGAGGATTAATATTAAAACTGCTATCACACACGTTTTGTATTGAATGTGAATAAATTATAATAGTTGAAAGTAACAGTGTTTTTATCCCAACTAATATTATAAATGCGAAAGTAACTCTGTCTGTCTGTTACGCTTTCCCGCTTAAACCTCGCAACCGATTTTGATGAAATTTGGCATAGAGATAGTTTGAGTCCCGGGAAAGAACATAGGATAGTTTTTATCCCGGTTTTTGAAACAGGGACGCGCGCGATAAAGTTTTTCTGTGACAGACAAAATTCCACGCGGGCGAAGCCGCGGGCGGAAAGCTAGTTTATAAATAATTTAATTCAAATATTAACTGGAGTTGGAAGGGCCTTAAAATATTTTACTGTAACATCAGACCTATCCGCTAAAATTTTGCAACTAACTTTATTTGACATTTCAACCGAATGTTGCTATACGAAAAATATTAAATAATGCTACGACTATGGTTTCGAAAGTTAAAAGTGAACAAAAGGGTTTTCAAAATTGACCTAATGTAATGAAGAGGTTAATGCGAGCGAAGCCGCTGGAAAAGCTAGTATATAAATGAAAGTCCATATTACACGTGATAATAAAATGTATTAGATCCAATACTAAGAGGCTTCGGTGAGCGCCTTCAGGTCTGCGAAGTATGACGCGTCGGCTTCAGATAGTTGTTCCAAGGCATCCGACACGGAGGCGCGCGGGAAGCGACGCACCCACGATGCGACCATGCCTTCTGCGCTGGCCGGGTGTCTGTGCAGGACTACGTCATCACCTGGAAAGATTAAAAAAAAATGGTAGAATAACGACACACATCCTCATTAGATAAAATGCGATAATGACGGTCCGGGTGTCGCAATTAAAGGTGGTGGTAAAAACTACACTTGATTTTTTTGTCACGAAAATGGCGAAAAACAGCGATCAAAAAAAGGATTGTTAAAATAAAAATAAAAAAATCCGCCGCACAGCCGAATTTTGTATGGAATTGGGACTTTAAAATATTATGGAGTTTGTAGTTTAGCCTGACCAGGAACATAAAAACCCTGGCATAGAGGCGCGTCAATTGCATTTGATAGTGCAACACTGAGTACAGTCGTACCTGTGTTAAATTAATAGGCTAACTTTATGTATCAGGATTCAGGATTACGGGCTAATTTGATATTTTCATAAATTAACCTACCCTA